AAGTAATATGAAATCTTTAACAACTTCAATATTTTCTCCACTTATTGTGATGCTGCTTATCGGTCTAGTTGTGAGGATCTTCATTTTCTTTATGTTGAGATGTAATCTATACTGAAGACTGCAGTCTTTAATCTTCTCAGTAATTGCTTCAAGTCATCCTTACTTTCAGCAAGGGAAGTTGTGTTGTCTGCATATCGCAGGTTGTTAATGAGTCTTCCTCCAATTCTGATGCCATGTTCTTCTTCATATAGTCTAGATTCTCGGATTATTTGCTCAGCATACAGATTGAATCAGTATGGTGAAAGGACACTCCCTTTCTGATTTTAAACCAAGCGGTATCCCCTTGTCCTGTTTGAATGACAGCCTCCTGGTCTATGTGCATGTTCCTCATGAGCACAATTAAGGGATAGTGCTTTAGTATACAAATCTCTGCTCCCCTACAGTTTCTTCCTCCCCTTTTATGTTGTTATTGTCAAAAATTATATATTTTTTTGACAATAACCAGCCTGGTGGTTCAGTGCTTGAGTGCTAACCGAAAGGTCAGGAGTTCAAACCCATCAGCTGCTCTGCAGGAGAGAGAGATTTAATTTCTGCTGTTGAAACTCCCTGATGTATTTTTCATTTCACTTATTACACTTTTCACCTCCCAAATTTCTGTTCAGTTCCTTTGTAAATTTCTCTTTATTAGTATTCTCTACTTTCTGGGCATTATTTTCTCTGAGCATATTTAAGTCACTTAATTCCAAATCTTTGTTTAGTAATTCTAAAATCTGTGCTTCCTTTGGGACAATTTCTGTTAATTTTATTTTTTTCCTGTCAACAGTCCATACTTGTTTCTTTGCATTCCTCATATTTAAAAAATATTATAGTGTGATAATTGTGAAAATCATTGTCTTCCTTTCCCTTAAAGTTTGTTTTTGTTGCTTGTATGGTTTTCAGTTGTTTTTTTAAATTTAGTCTCTTTTAAAAACTGTTTTTTAAGGACTTTATTGCCATTTTCATTTTCTTTATGCATGATATCCTTGATGTCATCCCACAACTCTTCTAGTCTATAGCCTTCAGTATGAGTTAAACTTGAATGTGAAGACAATAAAAATTCTTGCAATAGGACCAATAAATGACAATGACAAATGGTGAAGAAACTGAATTTGTTAATAATTTTATTCTACTCAAATCAACAATCAAAATCCATGGAAACAGCAGTCAGGAAATCCACCAAGGTATTGTATTGGCCTAAACTGCTACAAAATACCTCTTTAAAGTTTTGAAAAGCAAAAATTCACTTTGATGATTAAGGTGTACCTGACCCAAGCTGTGGGCTTTTCAGTCACATCATATGCACACAAAAGCTGGACAATAAAAAGGTAAGACAGAAGAATTGATGTAGTTGAATTTTGGTCTGGGAGAAGAGTATTAAATATACCATGGACAGCCAGAAAAACAGACAAATCAATCTTGGAGGTAGTACAACCAGGTTTGTTGTTGGTAAAAATGGCTAGACTTCATCTTGCTTAGTTTAGACACTAGAAATAATAAATGATTCTAAGTTTTAAATGGAAGCTCAACAGATCAAGAATAATCAAGTAACTCCTAAAGAAAAAAGCATGAGGTAGGAGGATTTGCCCTAACCAATATCAGGATTTATTGTACAGCTATGTTGTAGTGCCTAAGGCATTTAACAGCTAACCAGAAGGCTGACAGTTCAAACCCACCAGCCACTCCTCAGAAGGAAGGTTGGGCAATTTACTTCCACGGTCATACCACCTCGAAAACCCAAAGAGGGGTCACTATGAGTCAGATCAGACTCAACAGCA